AGCCTTATAAAGCTACAAGCTAAAAGAAAAAACTGAGTTTTGGGCCACATCTGATGGAAAGTATTCCATTTGGCGACCTGATACAAGCTTTTGCCCTTGAGAGCTACATTTGTGCACTAATCTTGTGTTGTCTGGCAGGTGTTCACGTGGGGTCATCGGCTTGTTACTCCTAGACGTGTGGTCGTTGCTCGAAATACTAAAAAAGCTGGGAATACTTTACTGAAGTTCCACCGTAAGGAACGCCTCAATGTGGTCGGTATAGCTGCTGGGATGACTCACAGTTTGGCTCTCACAGAAGATGGTGCAGTGTTTTATTGGGTGTCTTCAGATCCGGATCTTCGGTGTCACCAGGTATTTTGCTTTGTAAATTTTGCTTATTGTCATAATTAATTGTGGAAACTTCGGTTTGTTGTTTAAAAGTACTTGCTAGAAAACAAGGCTCACTCTGACAATCTAAATCCACCCTTGAAGTTGATTCCTGTATGCGTTTTGTTTCAACCATTAGTTGACCTGACCGACATTGGTGCTGATGTCGTGAGATATTTTCTACAGATAGACCTCTTAACCTTCTTAATAAGATGAATCTCACCGATTTTTTTGTTTGGCAGTTTGAAAATTTTGAAAAATTGAGGATGCAAATGTAAAATGTAAGATGGAAGTTGGGGATAGTTGTAGCTCATTGAAGTTAAGGGACGTAATTGTTGAAAATATTTAATATCACTAGAAATTTCTGTTTGCTTAATTAATTGCGAGTGCAAAATTACAACGAATCTAACCAGAGGACCGTAGGTGTTGTAATTTTCAACATCAACTGTATTTTGGCCTAAACCCTAGGGTAGCTTTTGTGATGATCTTTTATTTCGTTCCTTTTTTTTTTTCCCCTTATCCTTTAAGAAAAAGCACCTTTTGTTCAATCTTACGCATTAACATGGAAATTTCATTCTTTTCTTGTAGCTATACTCGCTCTGTGGAAGAGGTATAGTTAGCATTTCTGCTGGAAAGTACTGGATAGCTGCAGCCACTATGACTGGCGATATTTACACGTGGGACGGTAAAAAGGGAAAAGATGAACCATCAAACCCAATAAGGTTACATGGAGTGAAAAAGGCAACTTCAGTATCAGTTGGCGAGACTCATCTATTGTTTATTAGCTCCCTTTATCATCCCAGCTATCTTCCTAGTACTCCTGACATCCGTCAGAAGCCGGCTATTATGGATGAATTAGATGAATTGGGTGAAGGTTTTATGTTTGATGACGTGGAGTCCGAGGATGCTTTATTTAAAACGACGAAGGATGACATGTCAAATCCAGAAGTGTCGGGTTCTAGAAACTTCTTCGATAAAAGTAGTGCACCGAGCTTGAAAAGTCTTTGCGAGAAAACAGCTGCGGAGCATTTGGTCGAGCCACGAAATGCCATACAGCTGCTAGAAATTGCTGATACACTTGGAGCAGATGATCTCAAGAGACATTGCGTCGTACGCTTTTCCACCCCTTTTATTTTTTACTTCAAATTATATGTCGACTAGATAAATAATTTTTAGTCATCTAATATTTTTACACCCACCTGTCCACTAAAAGAACTCGAAACTCACCGCAGGAGATTGCAATCCGCAACCTAGACTACATACTCTCGGTGGCCCCACACACATTTGTTGACACCTCTCTTGATATTCTAGCCGAACTCGAGAAACTGTTAGACCTGAAGTCATCTGAACCTTGGAGTTACAGACGGCTTCCGACACCTACCGCCACTTTTCCTGCCATTATCAACAGCGAGGAAGACGATTGTGAAAGTGAACTACTCATGATGCGCGGTGATGCCAGAAAGAGATCGGCCATGAATGACTGGGCCCACCAGAGGCTGGACGGCTTTCTTCGAACAAATGATGCTGTAATAGAAGGCGTGGACAAGCAAATAAGGGCCCTGAGGAAAAAGCTTCAACAGATTGAGCTGCTGGAGGAGAAACGATCCAAGGGTCATATTCTTGATGACCAGCAGATTGCGAAGCTACAGTCGAGGCCGGTTCTGGAGAGTTCTCTTGCGGAGCTTGGAGCACCGATTGAGACTGTTCAGTTGGAAGCTTCATCTGCGGAACAGAGGGGAAGCAAGAGAGCAGGAAGTAAGAAGCAAAGAAGAAAATGCAAACAGAAGGCTAAGGAGGAGGAATCTAGCGATTTTGCCATTGGCGCTGAGATGAGTATGGTGAAGGGTTTTCCAGATAATGAAGTTCTAGATGATACCTTTCATAAGGTGATTCATTTTCTCTCTCTCTCTCTCTCTCTCTCCATTGGTACAGCTCGAGTATCCAATTTAGGAACGTTTGAGGATATCCTCAATATATATAAAATATTGCAATGAGGGTTGGATGAGGTGTTACTAATTGCAATAAACAAAGCCAAGAAATATGCTAATAGTATAACCGACATTGCCATTTATAATTTTTTGTTTTTTTGCTTTTTTCTATTTGTTTTCAGGAGAAAGCTACACATATTGAAAGTGCCATCCCAATCCAAGAAACTGGGGTTTCTCCATTTCCCCCTAACAAGACAGCTGAAGGCAATATTCCCCAAAACAATACTACCCCTCCACCTACAGCATCCAAGAAAAAGAATAAAAAGGGAGGCCTCTCTATGTTCCTTAGTGGGGCCCTCGATGACAAGCCTAAAATTGTTGCTCCACCTCCCCTTAAAGCCAAAAGTGAGGGCCCCGCTTGGGGAGGCGCTAAAATATCACATGGGCCGGCCTCACTTCGTGATATACAGGTGGAACAGAGCAGAACAGAGGCCAAGCTCACGAGAAAGAATAATCTTGGCGACTCTTCTTCTATAGGTGGCACTTTTGGCGGGAAACTCCCATTGAGTTCGTTTTTGCCTTCATCCCCTATAGCTATGGTGCCCCCTCGAAAAGGACAGGTGTCAGATGGAGATAAGAACACGCCTCCTTGGGCGGCCTCCAGCACCCCACCTTCCCTTTCCCGCCCGTCACTCAGGGATATTCAATTGCAGCAGGTTTGTTATATTCTCGTTGTTCTGTGTATCTATTTTTCGGTTTCGCATGTGTGCACAATGGACAACTTAGCACTACTTTTGGGTCTCAGTTCAAGAGCAACTTGTGAATAATCGTGAGAAATTACTAATCGCGAGAAATTTGAAAATAACTCAAGAGCATACTGAACATCTTAAGGGCATTGCTTGTTTACAAATTAATTTACTCACATTTAATTCATATTCAAAATCTAACTCAACTTTAACTCAACCCCCACTATACCCAACAATATTCATATAATTAAATAATAAAAACTAATCATTCTTACACATCACATCATCTTTGATTAGCCATTCATTCACTCACGTAATTTTAACTACCTATCATTTCCAATCATTTATCTCCTACTTTTACATCAAATCAATTTTAATCATTTTATTTTAAATATTATTTTAATACATTCTTAAAATCTCACTAACTACTAACCATACCCACCTTGTTCAAAATTAACTCCAGTTAACAAAAAAAACTCGTTTTACCTGTTACTCTGTTTGGTATGGGAAGTTCCGTGTGATTTTGTTCTTCTTTTGCATAAATCTACTTTCTAAGTTTTATTTTCTTATCATCTGTTAATGTGACTCTTGCTAGGGGAAACAACACCAAAGTATTTCTCATAGCCCAAAGTCTAGCACCACCGGATTCTCTATTACGACTGGTCAGGGTTCACCATCCGAGCCAGCTGGCATCAACCGCTGGTTCAAGCCAGAAGCTGATACTCCCTCTTCCATACGTTCGATCCAGATTGAGGAGAAGGCTATAAAGGACCTCAAGCGTTATTACAGCTCTGTTAGAATTGTAAAGAACCAGTCCTGACAAAGGGTACTTGTTCTTTGTTTGACTTCATTAGTTTAGCCCGCACTGTAAATTTGACCTGTACAGATTGCTGAAGAAAACATTTCTTCTAAGCCAGACCCTCTCCTGTTTGAATTGTTCCGATTTGGAATTATCCCATTAAGGAATTCAAGGTGAAGGTAGACATTGTCTGGATTACTGCCAGGAAGCATGAAATTGAAAAATGTCAGATTTGTGGTATCAATAATATATATGGCTGAATGTGATTCTTTTGTAAGACAGATCTCTTGATGAATACCAATAATATTAGAGGATTCTGGATTTTCCCTTTGAACGTGACATATGTCACGTGTTTTGGAGATTTGATGAGTCTTGGACCATATAAAGATAGAGTATCATTTGGATCCCACCACTTCTATATTCTATTGTTTTTCATTGTAGGAAGGTCTAGTTGGGGCTATTGCAAGTTCACTCCAGAAATAATATTTTCAAGCATGTAACGGAAAAGCATTTAACGCCAATTGAAATATTTCAAATTGCACCAAGAATGTGTGTGTGTGTGTGTACTATGCCATTGAAAAAGAATTACGCACGCCTGTGTAACGTTCTTGACATCCTCGTTATTTTCAGCGCCCATACATACATACCTTTGAGAATGAGACAAATGCCGTGACACCAAAACTTTGCAGCTTTTTCGTTATTTTACCACGTCAAAAATGATCTGCCCATCACGTGCTTCAACATGGAGCAGTCCTTAATATTAATTTTTAATTGTTCTTTTTTCTGCATCATCCATCACTTGATGTCCCGTGAGGCCTCCATTGCCATTTAAATAGCTGCATAGGCAGAGTGACTGTTATATTATAATTGAGTGCTTTTTTATTGTAGACGACTTTATATATCATTGCTCAGTCATACACACTGAAACAAGGAAGGGGGTCGTCTGGAATGGAGGCTGTTCCAAGATCCTGACATCAAGTAAGGATCTCGGACCAGGCTTCATTTCACGCGTCCCGACTTCCATTTGCCAAACATGGTGTTGCGTGTAAAGATAGCGTACGAATCATGCGAGGTTGAATGAAAAACTGATTTGTGGGTTTTGGATGATAGTGCAGATTATTAGCATATGTAAGTAATATTGCTGCTTTTATGATGTTCTAATGGTTTATGTGAACCATTGCAACGGGTTTTACCTAAAAAAATCTATAATTTCTTGAAACTTAGCTTGAAGTGTGCAATTTCTTGAATAAATATTAGCATATTGTTTTTTTCTTTTAGAAAATCAATTAAATAATAATAGAATTGACCCCGATTTTGACTATTTTTGTTGATACCTAATTTGGCTCCGATTAAATAAATAATAAATTAAATAACAAAATACGGCCCAATGACCGATGAGCCAAAAATACATGATAAATGAGTATACGAACAAGTTCTCGGGATGGATCATCTAAAAATCGACCGGGTTCCCAAATGCCGAGCCCATTGCAACCGAGCCAAGGAGACAAACATCGGCCGGAACCGTCGTGGGTCATTAGCGGGTCCCCCAATGACTACATCTCATTAAATGATAATGTACTACCTTTTATTTATTTTTAATGGTCCACTTGCAAAAAAGAGGTGGACTTGTATGTATATGTAAGAAGGAGGAGAGAGAAGGGGGTCTTGCTCGATTCTTCATTTTCTCCCTTCCCACACAACACAAGAGAGAGTAGGGGTGGTTGGATGACGCTCTCTCCATTTTTCCACATTCTTCCCGAAAAACATACAAAACAAAACATCCATTTCTATCTATTTTGTTCTACTTTTTTCATATATAAATTCGAATCATATTCGACGGTTGATCGTCCGATTTTCGACATCAACAGTTTGGCGCTAGAGGAAGGGCTCCGTAATTTGCTCGGAGTCAACTTTTGCCGGAAAACGGCTACATTTACACCGGAAGGTATTCCCCCAAAGTTTGGTAAGAACAACATATTCTTATTTTAATTTCCCGTTGCCTCTGATCCCATTTATGAGGTACAAAAGAATAAATACAAAAATGTTCATTCGAGCATGAAA